GTACTGTACATATATTCCTCCAGACATGTACACACACACACACACACACACACACACACACACACACACACACACCATCATAACATTACCCAGAGCTTAATTAGAGTTATTACACAATCTCAATTCCTTTACAGATTGAAGGTAATTCTTACCAGAGATAAAAGACAGGCCAGAAAAAATAATTTGCGGCAACGTGACAGACAAACGCTTTCATTAACGTCACTCATGCTGATGACGAGACATGTGGAGGAGAAAGAGACGCATTGAGTGTACACAGGAGGTAGTGGTGGTGGGTAGTGGTGGGTACTGGTGGTGGGTGGTGGATACTGGTGGTGGTGAGTGGTGGTGGGTAGTAGTGGGTAGTGGTGGGTACTGGTGGTGGGTGGTGGTGGTGGATACTGGTGGTGGTGGAGTGGTGGTGGGTAGTAGTGGGTAGTGGTGGGTACTGGTGGTGGGTGGTGGGTACTGGTGGTGGTGAGTGGTGGTGGGTGGTGTTGAGTTGACAGGAAGTTGAGCTGATATAAAACCCCCTCTCCCTCACACACACACTCGGCCATCAGAGAGTCGAGATGTATTCTACGCCTCACTCCTGGGGCAGCCTGTTGACCCCCACCTCAACGCCCTCCCTCAACTCCTCCTCCCCACCGGGATATCAGCAAAATCCAGCCAAAGGTGACAATTTCACCTCGGACGAACAATGTTTAGACCACTGAAAACAACACTAAACAGTAACAGTTGAGAGTCATGGCCAAAATAACCTTCACACCCGCTAGTAAGATCCTGGGACACCCAAAAATATCAGCCCCTGACCGACGTTACCTTACGCACAAGGGCAAGAGACCAGCCCTGATATTCACTGTAAACTATAATTTGTATGTTCAATTAATTCTTCTTTTCCTTTTTGTAATGAAAGCTTTTGTTAACCGACTCACTCCCCCATGTACCTGTATGTAATAAATAATTCCTGCTCAATGCTTATTTTCACCCCTTTGACTTTTAAACATTTTCCAATATACGTTTAATTATTATTATTATTATTATTATTATTATTATTATTATTATTATTATTATTATTAGCATTATTATTATTATTATTATTTACACCCTCCTCCCACATACCCTTCCAACACACACACACACACACCCTACCCCCCACACCCTCCCTCAAACACCACACCTCCCACACACACACACACACACACCCTCCCACCCTCTCACCCACACACCCTCCCACACACACCCCTCTCCCACACACACACCCCACCCACCCCACACACACACCACCCCCCCACACACACACCCCACCCACCCCACACACACACCACACCTTCCCACACACACACACACACACACACACACACACACCCTGCCCACACACACCCCTCCCCACCCACACACACACCCCTCCCCACACACACACCCCACCCACTCCCACACACACACACACACACACCTCCCACACACACACACACACACACACACCCCTCCTACACACCCTCCCCACCCACACACACACACCCCTCCCACACACCCCTCTCCCACACACACACCCCACCCACCCCACACACACACCACACCCCTCCCACACATATACACACACACACCCCATTCCCCCCCCCCTCTCCCACACACACACACACACCCCTCTCCCACACACACACACACACACACAGCTTCTCGTTACACAACTTATCCTAGAGACGCTTCTAAGTCCTGTCTCTGGTTATATTTTCACTGTAAAGACACACTTAGCATAATGAAGTGGGTAATTGAGCTCCTCGCCGCTCTTGTATGGATCAGCTCTCACACTCACCACTCGCCTTGATTAAATAGTCTGGAATTTGTGACTTTTTTTTTTAAAGGTTTCTACGACCGGACGACCTGTACTGATTACGGAACTTGTAGATGATGTTCAGAATTGGACTAAAAGTGTATTATCGATTATTGTATATTGTATTATTTGTATGTTATGTGTTGTATATTTAGAGTTCTTATTTGTGAGATGAACTTTTGAGAGGGCTGGAGGACTTCAAGTTGTGAATCGGCTCGTAGTTAGTTGTCGTGTGAGACGTTTTGTTTCCCTCCGATAATACCTTAGACACCATCAAATAGTTAAGTAATTAGTAATAAGGAATGTGTGGAAGATAGACAGCTTTGACCTACAGTGTGTGTGTGTGTCCAGTAGGAGAAGGATGAAACGAAATACCTCACAAAATGCCTCACTATAATGCCTCACAAAATGCCTCACTATAATGCCTCACATAATGCCTCACTATAATGCCTCACATAATGCCTCACATAATGCCTCACTATAATGCCTCACATAATGCCTCACTATAATGCCTCACATAATGCCTCACTATAATGCCTCACATAATGCCTCACTATAATGCCTCACATAATGCCTCTCATAACCTCATAATGCCTCCCATAACCTCATAATGCCTCACATAATGCCTCCCATAGTACCTCCCATAATGCCTCCCCTAATGCCTGGCAGGACTCTGGAGTGTGACCGGCTGCGTGTTCACAGGAACTTGGTGGTGTCCCTCATCATTCATTTCCTGGTGATGGTCGTCCTGAGTGAGCCCTTCATCTCTCATCGTCAGACACGTACCTACCGTGACGTGGTGAGTGTGTGTGTGTGTGTGTGTGTGTGTGTGTGTGTGTGTGTGTGTGTGTGTGTGTATCGTTAAACTTGCACGCGGTGAGTCTTTGCAATGTTGATATCACCAGATTGATTATATTATGCAAGGTGCTTATAACAGATAGGCCAGATGTTGATGTTGCAAGACTGGCAGGTAACTCAAGTGTTGATGTTACAAGACTGACAGGTAACTCAAGTGTTGATGTTGCAAGACTGACAGGTAACTCAAGTGATGATGTTGCAAGACTGACAGGTAAGACTGTATTGTTATTGCAGGACTGGTTGTGCAAGACACTACTGGCCCTCAGGATGTACGCTCAGATGGCTTCTATCAACTGGATGTTCGTGGAGGGGCTGTTCCTTCACTCGAGGCTCACCTGCAACGTCTTCGACTCTGGGGCTCCCTTCACTCTCTATTACATTATTGGCTGGGGTGAGTTACTACCTGAGCCTGGGGTGAGTTACCGGGATCTGGGGCACCCTTGGAGGACCGTGTTACCGGGATCTGGGGCACCCTAGGCTGTGTTACCGGGATCTGGGGCACCCTTGGAGGACCGTGTTACCGGGATCTGGGGCACCCTAGGCTGTGTTACCGGGATCTTGAACTGTTCTGGGGCACCTTGGAGGACCGTGTTACCGGGATCTGGGGCACCCTGGGCTGTGTTACCCGGGATCTGGGACACCATAGAGGACCGTGTTACCGGGATCTGGGGCACCCTAGGCTGTGTTACCGGGATCTGACTGAACTTTCTACAGTAACATACAACTCAAACACAAGTTTCGAAAGACGTTTATAGTCTTTAGATACTCCAGTAATTAATAACAAAGACAACTTGGGGGGTAAATTAAATCATGCTGGCCTGTATTATGTATTGTCAAGGTCACACAAAAGATCATGTCAACACGCGCCATTATAAACAGTGTAGGAATAGACAGTTCATGCGATTCTCAACAAACAGATAGGATAATTCATGATTTTGTAGAGGGAGGGAGTTGGGGGGAGAGGGGGAGGGAGAGGGGGAGGGAGAGGGGAAGGGGCGGGGGGGAGGGAAGAGAGGGAGGGATGCTTGAAATTTTGACTTGTTCTTCAAGGTATAGTTGAGGTGTTGTTGTTATATTGCAGGGGCGCCGTTGGTGTTCATCCTGGCCTGGGCTACCACCATGTCCCTGCGCTATCCCGTCCACTGTTGGCAGGGCTACGGCGGTCTACTGTATGTGTGGATACTAGTAGCACCCATGGTCACTGCTCTGATGGTAAGTAGCACCCATGGTCACTGCTCTGATGGTAAGTAGCACCCATGGTTATTGCCCTAATGGTCGGTAGCACCCATGGTCACTGCTCTGATTGTAGGTAGCACCCGTGGTTATTGCCCTAATGGTAGGTAGCACCCGTGGTCACTGCTCTGATGGTAGGTAGAGGAGAACCACAGCCTACACGACAAGGGGAGAGGAGAACCACAGCCCATAATGACAAGGGGAGAGGAGAACCACAGCCTACACGTGACAAGGAGAGGAGAACCACAGCCTACACGACAGTGAGAGGAGAAACCACAGCCTACACAACAAGGGAGAGGAGAACCACAGCCTACACAACAAGTGGGAGAGGAGAAACCACAGCCTACACAACAGGAGAGGAAAACCACAGCCTACACGACAAGGGAGAGGAGAACCACAGCCTACACAACAAGGGAGAGGAGAACCACGCCTACACAACAAGGGAGAGGAGAACCACAGCCTACACGACAAGGGAGAGGAGAACCACAGCCTACACGACTAGGTAGTAGGTAGTTGGCAGCTACCAAACAAGGAGGTACTACCGCCTGGGAAGATATTGGAAGCAGGGTCTATGGTAGACCCTGCTTCCACATGGCATCACGAAAATTGTGACCAAGTCCCAGGTTGCTGATCTGACTTTCTGCCTCATTTACACACAATTGCAGAGTCTTAATTGTTTCTCTTACTAATGACAATACAACAGTGACCTGTGCCTGGGTGGGGTAATCCCAGTAAAAAAAAAAAAAAGTAGAGGAGAATCACAGCCTACACGACAAGGGTGAAGAGAATCAAGGCCTGGATCTGGAGAACTCCGGGTCGTATGTCTTCTCTCTAATTGACATCGTCTCTTTATCTCCGTATGTCTATATGTCTATTCTGTCTGTCTATCTGTCTATTTTCTGTCTATATCTCCCCGTCTGTCCGTCTGTCTGTCTATTCTTTGTCTTTCTCTCAATTTGTCTGTCTTTTCTCTGTCTATTTTGTCTCTTACTCTCCATCTATCTGTCTATTCCTTGTCTTTCTCTCTATTTTATCTATCTGTCTATTCTTTGTCTCTCTCTATCTGTCTATTTGTCTCTTCTCTCTCTCTCTCTCTCTCTCTCCATATATCTATCATTTTCCTATTTCTCTCCGCCTATCTCTATTTACATTTTTATTCATCCGTCTTCATCAACCTTGAAAATTAATACATAACTTATACATTATTATACAGTGATGCGTCTGTTTGTGTTTCTTTACTTTGTTATCTGTGTGTGTTTGGTGGTGTTTAGTGAGTGTTTGGTGGTGTTTGGTGATGCTTGTGTGCGTTTGTTGGTGTTTGGTGGTGTTTGTGTGTGTTTGCGGTGTTTTGTTGGTGTTTGTGTGCTTGGTGTGTTTATGGTGTTTGTGTGTGTTTGGTGATGTTTTGTGTGTTTGGTGGTGTTTGGTGGTGTTTGGTGGTGTTTGTGTGTGTTTGGTGGTGTTTAGTGGGTGTTTGTGTGTGTACTTGGTGATGTTTGTGTGTGTTTGGTGGTGTCGGTGGTGTTTGGTAGGTGTTTGTGTGTGTTTGGTGGAGTTTAGTGGTGTTTGTGTGTTTATGATGTTTGTGTGTGTTTAGTGTGTTTGTGTGTGTTTGGTGATGTTTGTTTGTGTGTGTTTGGTGGTGTTTGTGTGTGTTTGGTGATGTTTGTGTGTGTTTGGTGGTGTTTAGTGGTGTTTGGTGATGTTTGTGTGTGTTTGGTGGTGTTTGTGTGTGTTTGGTGATGTTTGTGTGTGTTTGGTGGTGTTTAGTGGTGTTTGGTGATGTTTGTGTGTGTTTGGTGGTGTTTGTGTGTGTTTGGTGGTGTTTAGTGAGTGCTTGGTGGTGTTTAGTGAGTGTTTGGTGGTGTTTGGTGGTGTTTGGTGATGTTTAGTGTTTGGTGGTGTTTGGTGATGTTTAGTGAGTGCTTGGTGGTGTTTAAGATGTTTGTGTGTTTGGTGTTAAAGTGAGTGCTGGGTGGTGCTTGGTGGTGTTTGGTGGTGTTTAGTGTGTTTGTTGATGTTTAGTGAGTGTTTGGTGATGTTTAGTGAGTGTTTGGTGATGTTTAGTGAGTGTTTGGTGGTGTTTGGTGGTGTTTGGTGATGTTTAGTGAGTGTTTGGTGGTGTTTGGTGATGTTTAGTGAGTGTTTGGTGGTGTTTGGTGATGTTTAGTGAGTGTTTGGTGGTGTTTGGTGATGTTTAGTGAGTGTTTGGTGGTGTTTGTTGATGTTTTTATGATGTTTAGTGATGTTCTTTCTCTCCCCCAGATCAACTTGGTGTTTCTGGTGAACATTATTAGGATCTTGGTGACCAAACTCCGTGCTAGTGACGCAGTTGAGACCACACAAGTAAGGTGAGTATAAAGGTCGTATTTTCAAGTCACCAGTCGGGTTGGTTAAGTCTCCCCTGCTCTAAGTGTCGTTTTCTTTTATAGGCTAATAATTCATCACCACCTTTTAAACTAAGTTACCCCTTAACATCCACCACCACGTACACGTCACCCTTCAATACCTACCATGTACACGTCACCCTTCAATACATACCACGTACTCGTCCCCCCTTAACACCTACCACGCACACGTCACCCTTCAATACATACCACGTACGCGTCACCCCTTAACACCTACCACGTACACGTCCCCCTTAGCACCTACCACGTACACGTCACTCGTACCCAGTACCCAAGTGAGGTTTCCTTTTATGTACTGAACATTGGACCCTTAAGAGAGAGAGAGAGAGAGAGTGTGTGTGTGCGTGTGTGTGTGTGTGTGTGTGTGTGTGTGTGCGTGCCTCTCTCTCTGTCTACCTGTCTGTCTGTCTATCTCTCCCTCTGTCTCTCCCTCTGTCTCTACCATCGATCTCTGTTCTTCCTCATCATCTATTTATTTGTCTTTCTCATCTCTCTCACACCCTTTCTCTTATCAACAATTCTCTCCCTCTCCTCGTTACCTTAGCCAATAACCCCCCCACGATGACCCATGGGGGTCATCACGCATTCTGACGCTAATTTGTCTGTTGATGAACCAGGAGGTGGGAATTATACAGAGATAGTATATGTGCCTTTCTTATCTCATGCAATATGTAATTTATCAAGCCATGCAATTATCCTTTGTGATTTGTGTGTGTGTGTGTGTGTGTGTGTGTGTGTGTGTGTGTGTGTGTGTGTGTGTGTGTCGTTGATAGGTTGGTGGTAGGTGACGTCATTAACCTGGCTTAAGTGTTTTACCTTTATTTTGTGTTAGCGAGTCAAAAGACGTTGGATCTCTCTTTCTCTCTCTCAGTCTATAGATTTACTTTAGTTTTTCCTTTTTAACCAATTCTCTCTCTCTCTCTCTCTCTCTCTCTCTCTCTCTCTCTCTCTCTCTGCATATAGTAGTGTTTCATTAACTCTCTCCTCTGTGTTGTGATGCAGGAAAGCGATTAGGGCGACTGCAGTGTTGTTCCCGCTCTTAGGCATCACCAACCTCCTCTTCTCCGTCAACCCTGGCGGTAAGGGCGACCTGGAGGGCGCCTACATGCTCACCAACGCCCTCCTCCAGTCCTCCCAGGTAAGTCCGATAAGCAGTGGATTTTTTTTTTTTTAGATTGCCCAGGAGGAGGCTAGTTTATTGGGCACCCCCCTTACATCCTGTGCAAGGTGAAGCGCAGAAGCGTTTATAGCGCCCACCTGGGAAGCATGCGGAGTTCATGCTTGCCTTTATGACTCACGCATTAAGGGCGTAAAAGCCTGAAGGGTCATGGGGTTTGTCAGCGAGTTACATAAAGTGACAGAATGATGAGTGAGTGGGGGGGGATTCCCGGTATAATTTATCTGTTTATGGCAAAGTGTGGCAGGTAGTGGGTCAGGGAGGTACCAGGTGGGTCAGGAGGTTACCAGGTGGGTAGGGCCAGGTGGGTCAGGAGGTTACCAGGTTGGTCAGGGAGGTTACCAGGTGGGTCAGGAGGTTACCAGGTGGGTCAGGTTACCAGGAGGTTACCAGGTTCAGGGAGGTTACCAGGTGGGTCAGGAGGTTACCAGGTGGGGGGGTCAGGGAGGTGAGGTTACCAGGTGGTCAGGAGGTTACCAGGTGGGTCAGGAGGTTACCAGGTTCAGGTAGGTTACCAGGTGGGTCAGGAGGTTACCAGGTGGGTCAGGGAGGTTACCAGGTGGGTCAGGAAGGCTCCAGGTGGGTCAGGAGGCTTACCAGGTTACCAGGTGGTCAGGAGGTTACCAGGTGGGTGCTATGAAGATTATCAGGTGGTCAGAAGTTACCAGGTGGGTCAGGGAGGTTACCAGGTGGGTCAGGAGGTTACCAGGTGGGTCAGGAGTTACCAGGTTACCAGGTGGGTCAGGGGTTACCAGGTGGGTCAGGTAGGTTACCAGGTGGGTCAGGAGGTTACCAGGTGGGTCAGGAAGGCTACCAGGTGGGTCAGAAGGTTCAGTGGGTCAAGGTTACCAGGTTGGTCAGGGAGGTACCAGGTGGGTCAGGAACGTTACCAGGTGGGTCATGAAGGTTACCAGGTGGGTTGGGGAGGTTACAGGTGGGTCAGTGAAGGTTACCAGGTGGGTCAGGAAGGTTACCAGGTGGGTCAGGATTATGGGTCAGTACCAGGTGGTCAGGAGGTTACCAGGTGGGTTGGTGGAGGTTACCAGGTGGGTCAGGAGGTTACCAGGTTGGTCAGGAGGTTACCAGGTTGGTCAGGGGCTGGGTCAGGAGGTCTACAGGGTCAGGGAGGTTACCAGGTGGTCAGGAGGTTACCAGGTTGGTCAGGAGGTTACCAGGTGGGGAGGTCCAGGTGGGTCATTAAGGCCAGGTGGGTCAGGGAGGTTACCAGGTGGGTCAGGAGGTTACCAGGTGGGTCAGGCCAGGTGGGTCAGGAGGTTACCAGGTGGGTCAGGTAGGTGGGTCAGGTTACCAGGTGGGTCAGGAGGTTACCAGGTGGGTCAGGGGTTACCAGGTGGGTCTAGGAAGGTTACCAGGTGGGTCAGGAGGAGCCACCAGGTGGGTCAGGAGGTTACCAGGTGGGCTAAGATAAGATTACCAGGTGGGTCAGGAAGTTACCAGGTGGGTTATGAAGATTATCAGGTGGGTCAGGGAAGGTTACCAGGTGGGTCAGGAGGTTACCAGGTGGGTCAGGGAGGTTACCAGGTGGGTCAGGAGGTTACCAGGTGGGTCAGGTAGGTTACCAGGTGGGTCAGGAGGTTACCAGGTGGGTCAGGAGGTTAGGTTCCCAGGTGGGTCAGGGAGGTTACCAGGTGGGTCAGGAAGGTTACCAGGTGGGTCATGAAGGTTACCAGGTTGGTCAGGAGGTTACCAGGTGGGTCAGGAACGTTACCAGGTGGGTCATGAAGGTTACCAGGTGGGTCAGGAGGCTACAAGGTGGGTCATGAAGGTTACCAGGTGGGTCAGAAGGTTACCAGGTGGGTCATGAAGGTTACCAGGTGGGTATGAAGGTTACCAGGTGGGTTCTTAAGGCTACCAGGTGGGTTCTGCCAGGTGGTTCTAAGCCACCAGGTGGGTTCTACCATGTGGGTTCTGCCACCAGGTGGGATTCCTAAGGCTGGGTTCTAAGGTTACCAGGTGGGTTCTTAAGCCACCAGGTGGGTTCTTAAGGCTACCAGGTGGGTTCTGCTACCTAGGCTACCAGGTGGGTTCTAAGGCTACCAGGTGGGTTCTAAGGCCACCAGGTGGGTTCTACCAGGTGGGTTCTGTAAGGCTACCAGGTGGGGTTCTTAAGCTGCTACCAGGTGGGTTCTTAAGCCATCAGGTGGGTTCTAAGCTCAGGTGGGTTCTAAGCTACCAGGTGGGGGGTTCTTAAGGCTACCAGTGGGTTCTAAGCTACCAGGTGGGTTCTAAGGCTACCAGGTGGGCTCTACTACCAGGTGGGTTCTAAGGCTACCAGGTGGGTTCTTAAGGCAGGTGGCTACAAGACCAGGTGGGTTCTTAAGGCTACCAGGTGGGTTCTTAAGGCTACCAGGTGGGTCTGGGCCTACACAGGTGGGTTCCACCAGGTGGGTTCTAGGCTTAGCTACCAGGTGGGTTCTTAACCAGGTGGGTTCTAAGGCTACCAGGTGGGTTCTAAGGCTAAGGCTACCCGGTGGGTTCTTAAGGCTACAGGTGGGTTCTTAAGGCTAGGTGGGTTCTAAGGCACCAGGTGGGTTCTTAAGGCTACCAGGTGGTTAAGCTTTAAGCTACCAGGTGAGTTAAGCTTAGGTGGGTTCTTAAGGCCCAGGTGTGTTCTGGTTCTAAGGGGCTGCCAGGTGAGTTGTTCCTGGGCTACCAGGTGGGTTCTTAAGCAACCAGGTGGGTTCTTAGTTTTAAGCTACCAGGTGGGTTCTTAAGGCACCAGGTGGGCTTCTAAGGCCACCAGGTGGGTTCTTAAGGCTACCACCAGGTGAGTTGCTACCAGGTGGGTCTTAAGCCACCAGGTGGGCCTGGGCCACCAGGTGAGTTAAGCCACCAGGTGGGTTAAGGCTACCAGGTGGGTTCTTAAGGGTGGGTTCTACCAGGTGGTTCTAAGCTACCAGGTGGGTTCTACCAGGTGAGTTGCCACCAGGTGGGTTCTGCTACCAGGTGAGTTGCTACCAGGTGGGTTCTAAGGCCCAGGTGGGTTCTTAAGCAGGTGATAGGTGAGTTAAGCTACCAGGTCTTAAGCTACCAGGTGTTCTAGGTGGGTTCTACCCAGGTGGTTAAGCTACCAGGTCTAAGGTAGGTGGTTCTGCTACCAGGTGGTTCTAACTACCAGGTGGGTTCCACCAGGTGGGTTCTAAGCTACCAGGTGGGTTCTAAGGCTACCAGGTGGTTCTGGCACCAGGTGGGTTCTTAAGGCTACCAGGGGTGGGTACTTCTACCAGGTGGTTCTGCCACCAGGTGAGGTTCTGTCTACCAGGTGAGTTCTGTCACCAGGTGGGTTCTAAGGCTACCAGGTGGGTCTAAGCTACCAGGTGGGTTCTTATGGCTACCAGGTGGGTTCTTAAGCCACCAGGTGGGTTCTGGCTACCAGGTGGGTTCTTAAGGCTACCAGGTGGTTCCCAAGGCTACCAGGTGGGTTCTAAGGCTACCAGGTGGGTTCTTATGGCTACCAGTGAGGCCACCAGGTGGGTTCTTAAGGCTACCAGGTGGGTTCTATGGCTACCAGGTGGGTTCTTAAGCCACCAGGTGGTTCTTAAGGCTACCAGGTGGGTTCTTATGGCTACCAGGTGGGTTCTGTACCAGGTGGGTTCTTAAGGCTACCAGGTGGTTCTTAAGGCCACCAGGTGGGTTCCTGGGTATGGGTTCTTAGCCAGGTGGGTTCTTAAGGCTACCAGGTGGGTTCTTAAGGCAGGTGGGTTCTAAGGTGGTTCTAAGCCAGGTGGGTTCTTAAGGCTACCAGGTGGTTCTTAAGGCTACCAGGTGGGTTCTTATGGCTACAGATGTCCTCTCTCTCTCTCTCTCTCTCTCTCTCTCTCTCTCTCTCTCTCTCTCTCTCTCTCTCTCTCTCTCTCTCTCTCTCTCTCTCTCTCTCTCTCTCTCTCTCTCTCTCTCTCTCTCTCTTTCCTTGCACTATAATCTTCATTCTTCAGCTTTACGTTTAACAATTAAGACGCCAAACTATATAATTGTCCTAAGTGGTGCATGTGTAGAACGAGTTATACGAGAGAAAATAGTTCCTTTAATATACAGTGCAGTGTTAGTTGTGCTGGTGCTGTAAAAATAACCCTGACCGCTGTTCTATCACTTCCCCGTCTGACACAGCGAGAGACAGCAGTTGGTAATTTCTGTTGTCTCTTCTTCCTCCTCCCACTATATATTACTTTACTGTCTGTACATGACTGTTATATAATGGTTGGTGTCCCCCCCTAGGGAGTCTTCGTGTCGGTGCTGTACTGTTTCATGAGCAGTGACGTAAGAGAGCTGCTGCGGAAGCGATGGCGGCAACATCGTACGCGGCGCTTCGGCTACGCGGCAGCCAACCATCGCCACAAGAGTACCCGCAGCACCTTCGTCCTGGAGAACTCAGTATCCGTGAGGACCACCCCACGCCTCCCCGACACCCACGACCATCCTGTCACCCATACCCTCAGTAACCACGCCATCCAGACCTCCGTGGTGTGACGTAGTTGATATCAGTATACTGTACAGTCAGGAATTTGTATGTAGACTCATTTGTTTCTGGTTGAACATAGTCAGCCACATACCCGTCTTTCCTGACCTGAATGATAGATCTTAGCAGCACGCGAGGGACTCTGAACGCAGCCACTGACCAACTCTGAGTCACATTTGCTTATTCTAAAAAACCCGCCACTACACCTTAGCGAACACTGGTGACGGGCAGCAGGAGTTTAGAAATCTTCATGTTGGTATCTTAAGTGATCACACGACCGTCTTCTAACACAATCTTGATGGGTAATAGTTTAGAACTTTCGTCTTCGTGATAAGAACCCCATAAACTACAGACAGGAGACATCTGTGGTTTGTCAAGGTTCTTTTAGCTATAAGAGGTGGTGCTACTGTTAGCTGTAAATAATGTAAATCACATCACTGGTACTTGCGCTCTCTTTACCGCCCATCAACACTGTGTTTCAGGCGACTATCACTAATCGCGTTAACATAAAGCAGCAGTCTAATATGTTCTAACTGTCTTTATATATTTTATGATATTTAATTTTTAATGTTCAAAGCTAAAAAAAATTCAAGTAACACTAAGAATAAAAATACTCATTACAGCTCATTTAGACTTTTCTTCTGCACCTAAATTAGTTGTGGATATTAAAAGAAAACTAATCTAGAACGACCGAACAACTTCATTCGACCATTAAGAAACGATGAGACTAAAATGACCAATTACAGTGTCTTCGAGCGTTAAGGAATGACGCTTTCTTACACACATCAAAGGGAACCACGACTAATTTTACCTGTGAAATTCACCTTTATGGTAGAGTGATTTAAAGGTTCTTTCCTTATGTCATGTGTCTTTATTGTACAGATAACTAACATATAAAACAAACATAAATCCTTCCAAGTTAAAATATAAATCACCACCACTCACCATACATACATACATACATACATACATACATACATACATACATACATACATACATACATAAATACATACATACATACATACATACCACCACCACCTACTTCATTATCTTCAAAAGCTACATCAATGGAGTGCAAGAATTCAAGCCACAGTATTGTTTTAGAAGAATATTAACATTTATTTACGAGGAACCAAATGCACCAGAGACTAAATTGAGAGACGGAAGAACCCAGATGTGTATATTTAGTAAACAAGAACACACTTTACTAACTGAGCTGAAGAGAGACTGGTATGTACAGTAAGAAGCTCTATAACTCACAGTCGGCGTACAAGTTCACACTGATTTAACATATACACAGAGACACTACAGGTATACATATAATGATGAGGAAGAATTTTAATTTAACCTATAGAAGAGTCCAAGAAAAAATGTTAGACAACTTGGCGAGGTTCCTCCATATAAGATTAGCCCCAAAGTTAAAAAATAAACATGTCTTATTTAATTTTCGTAAGTCGCGAGGGACAACGTGGCGTGATTTGTCCGTAAGATTTGCTGCGTCTTATTTTTATTGGGGCGCTGAGTTAGTATTGTCGATATTAGTTTTTTTTTTTATTTCCTGAATGAAATCGTTCAGTAGTTTATTATGAACGCCGGATGAATGATCTACAAAGTTTTTGCTGTGACCGAGTCTTTCAAGGCGATATGTGCTGTATGTTCAACCAATTTCCTTTCAACGCCGAAACTGATAAAAAACAACAATATTTTCTCTTTATTTTCTTTCGGATTTTTCGTGTTGTACAAAACCAGATATGTTTTTCTGCTTGATAATGACAGTGTTTACTATAGTCTGGACATTTTGCCGCAGTATGCAATACACGCGCGACTTGAAAATGTCAATAGCAACATCGTTATTCTTCACAAAAAACTGAATAGCTTCCTATTCAGTCATAAAGCAGCCGTCACACGAGGAAGCCATAAGGGAATGAATATACCTGGATGAAGAAATGTTTGAGCAGGCGGAGATCTCTCACGAGACAAAGTACCATTTCCTGATTGGTCAAGGCCGATGTGTGTTTGAGAATTGAAAATAATATCCCGAGAAAATGGCTACAGTGAACTTAAATTCCGTCATTTTTGTAGTAGCATGAACCTGTACAGAAATATACCAGAAACTCATCCAGGTTATAGAAGATTTTTCCATTATTTCTAACAAAGTATTTTTGTAAGTTTCTGTTGTTTTTCAAAAGTGGGTTTATAGTCAAGGTCGTGTAGTGAAACATGTCTGTCTGGCCTTATATAACAAGAAGAGAATCACTTAATACCCCCTATCGATTAAATGTGATTACCTTATGTAAATTTAAACCTTATTTTACGTGATGAAAGGTTAAGTCAGGTTACCAAAGGGTTGATTAGCGTGTGTGTGTGTGTGTGTGTGTGTTGTGTGTGTGGTGTGTGTGTGGTGTGTGTGTGTGTGTGTGTGTGTGTGTGTGTGTGTGTGTGTGTGTGTGTGTGTGTGTGTGTGTGTGTGTGTGTGTGTGTGTGTGTGTGTGTGTGTGTGTGTGTGTGTGTGTGTGTGTGTGTGTGTGTGTGTGTGTGTGTGTGTGTGTGTGTGTGTGTGTGTGTGTGTGTGTGTGTGTGTGTGTGTGTGTGTGTGTGTGTGTGTGTGTGTGTGTGTGTGTGTGTGTGTGTGTGTGTGTGTGTGTGTGTGTGTGTGTGTGTGTGTGTGTGTGTGTGTGTGTGTGTGTGTGTGTGTGTGTGTGTGTGTGTGTGTGTGTGTGTGTGTGTGTGTGTGTGTGTGTGTGTGTGTGTGTGTGTGTGTGTGTGTGTGTGTGTGTGTGTGTGTGTGTGTGTGTGTGTGTGTGTGTGTGTCTGTGTGTGTGTGTGTGTGTGTGTGTGTGTGTGTGTGTGTGTGTGTGTGGTGTGTGTGTGTGTGTGTGTGTGTGTGTGTGTGTGTGTGTGTGTGTGTTTGTGTGTGTGTGTGTGTGTGTGTGTGTGTGTGTGTGTGTGTGTGTGTGTGTGTGTGTGTGTGTGTGTGTGTGTGTGTGTGTGTGTGTGTGTGTGTGTGTGTGTGTGTGTGTGTGTGTGTGTGTGTGTGTGTGTGTGTGTGTGTGTGTGTGTGTGTGTGTGTGTGTGTGTGTGTGTGTGTGTGTGTGTGTGTGTGTGTGTGTGTGTGTGTGTGTGTGTGTGTGTGTGTGTGTGTGTGTGTGTGTGTGTGTGTGTGTGTGTGTGTGTGTGTGTGTGTGTGTGTGTGTGTGTGTGTGTGTGGTGTGTGTGTGTGTGGTGTGTGTGTGTGTGTGGTGTGTGTGGTGTGTGTGTGTGTGTGTGTGTGTTTGTGTGTGTGTGGTGTGTGTGGTGTGTGTGTGTGTGTGTGTGTGTTTGCCGCACAATTTACCTCATCTTCAAAGCCCTACCCAACTTGTACAACCAGAGTCGTTGCTAGTGGCAGTAGATCCACTGAACCATTACCCTGCAGAGCTCCATAACTAAGATCTTTTATGTGTGACATTAACTTAGTAATAGCTTTATTCTTAACATGATGTTCTGCTCCTTTAAATCAATTAAAATTTAAATCTATTTCTCAAACAAAGGATCGAGTTTATCATTTCCAAATAACCATAATTAAAATACACTAAAAAAAAATCAACTACTGCACAAAACACGCAAATATATCAGAAAATAATCACTATCACAATAATGACGCCATATACCACAGTCCGATATATTTAAAAGAGTTCCCCTTTCACTGTTGAATAAATTATCCCTTACATTTTCGTTAAGCTAATTCCTTAAATGGGGAAACTTCTTCATTTATAGGAAAACTAACATGTCACTCTATAAGGCTCTTTATTCCGGGAGATATGATAAGTATAAGAACAGTACAGTATGGTTGTATAATAAGATTAGCATTATCCTCCTCCAGCCGCTGTACGTTAGAATGACCCTTCTTGATCATCCCGGAGAGACAAGTTTCTAAGATGTTTTAAGAGGAGATCCTGGACGTCTTTGGCTTGCTTGCAGGATGAAGAGGAGGGGGAAGAGGAGGGGGAAGAGGAGGGGGAAGAGGAGATCATGGTGGTTGAAGGTGACGCTGAGATTTCCTCCTTCGTGAATTCCTGGCCCAAGATCCTTATGAGAGCTTGGGGTAGTGTCCTCAAGTCCATGTTAAGAAAGGTCCTATATATCACCTGTAAAGAACCAAGACGCACAGAGTCAAGTATAACACGATATTCATAAGGTTAGGTTAGGTTAGGATAATTTACTGCTATTTTAGGTTAGGTTAGGTTAGGTTAGCTTAGGTTAGATTAGTTCTAGACAAGATTAGGTCAGATTAGTTTAGTATTAGGTTAGGGTAGGTTAAGCTCGGGTGTCTAATCTTCAAATAATCCAAAGTTCTCAAAAGTTTCTCTCTAAATTAAATTATTTCAACATAGTCAACGTCTTTTGTGCCCTGAGAGAGAGAGATTTATATAACATAATCACACGTTACTAGAGACAAGAGTAGCCAAGACTCGAACAATTATAGTCATCTTTATCTCTCCCACTTCTCTTTGTCTCTCACCGGTTTCTCTATCTCTCCCACGTCTCATTTGTCTTCCCCACGTCTCGTTATCTCTCTCAAGTCTCATTATCTCTCCCTAGTCTCTTTGTTTCTCTCACGTCTCTTTGTTTCTCTGTCTCTCCCTAGTCCCTTTGTGTCCCTCACGTCTCTTATGACTCCCCCCACGTCTCTTATGTCTCCCCCACGTCTCTTTATCTCCCCCACGTCTCTTTATCTCCCCCATGTCTCTCTGTCTCCCCTAGTTCCTTTGTGTCCCTCACGTCTCTTATGTCTCCCCCACGTCTCTTATGTCTCCCCCCACGTCTCTTATGTCTCCCCCATCTCTTTATCTCCCCCCCATGTCTCTGTCTCTCCTAGTCCTTTGTGTCCCTCACGTCTCTTATGTCTCCCCACGTCTCTTATGTCTCCCCCGTCTCTTATGTCTCCCCCCGTCTCTTTATCTCCCCCACGTCTCTTTATCTCCCCATGTCTCTCTGTCTCTCCCTCACTGCCGGCGTTCTCATTTAAATGTTAGTGGTAGATACAGTTTGTAGCCCTCACAGCTTCAACAATCAGACATTCACATGCAACACTGTCACCACAAGCGTCGTTCTCAACAGTACTAACACTTGATGAATACTGCCTCCTCCCCTCTTCCTACTGCTTCCTCCTCCTCCTCCTCCTCCTCCTCCTCCTCCTCCTCCTCCTCCTCCTCCTCCTCTTCCTCCTGCTTCTTCCTCTTCCTCCTCCTCCTCCTCCTCCTCCTCCTCCTCCTCCTCCTCCTGCTTTTTCCTCTTCTTTTCCTCATCCTCCTCCTATTAAGGAAGGTCAACATAATATAACCATCACCACCTCTCCTCCACTATCACAAACACACACACACACACACACACACACACACACATGTATATATTATAAAAGAAAAAAGAAAAAAGAATTTTTGTTAAAGTTGCCTCTCCTTTATTCAATATTATTTACATTTAAGAGAATTTCAAAACCTATCAATTCTCTTTTTGTTTAATATTACATCTGGAG